AAGCTGGGGGTTTGAAGGGGACGGAAGAAAGGAGGCTTTTGTGGCAGCCAGCCTTTACGGCATCCAGCAGAGCTTCACCTGCTGTTGCTGCTGCTGCTGCTGCTGTTGGGTTTGCTGCTGCTGCTGCTGCTGCGGACTCTGCAGCAGCAGGCGGGAGGGAGAGTGGGGCGGCAAGGTGAACGCAGACGAAGAGCGCCTCGAGTTGCTGCTGCTGCTGCCGCTTTTGCTGCTGCTGCTGCCGCTGCTGCTGCTGCTGCTGGTGCGGCATTTGCATGCATATGGATAGCTGCAGCAGCAAGACAGAGCCGCTGCTGCAGCAGAAGACCAATGGTCTGGGTTGCATCTCTAGAGAGCAGCGGCCCACTAAGCTGCTGCTGCCGTCGTCAAGGACGCACCCAGCAACACGATCTGCTGCTGCTGCTGCTGCTGGCAGCAGCGCAGCAGAAGCGCTGTCGCTGCTTGCTGCAGCAACCATTGTTGCTGCTAGCTCAGCATGCCAGTCATGGCCCTTTAGTTTTATCCGTCTTCGTCGGTGTTGCTGCTGCTGCTGCTGTTGCTGCTGTTGCTGCTGCTGCTGCTGCAGCGGCCGCTGCTGCTGCTTCTGGACGCCGGAAGAACTAGGGGAAGCAACGCGCGCAGCAGCAGCAGCAGCAGCAGCAGCAGGTAGTGCTGCTTGCTGCAGCACCGCTGCTGGTGGAGGCAGGGCTGCTGCAGTCACCAGCTGATCAAGACGCTGCTGCTGCTGCTGCGGTGGCAGCAGCAGCAGCAGCTGCCAGTGAGGCAGCAAAGCCCCCTGCTGCAGCGGGAGATGCTCCGCATGCAGCAGCGCGTTTGCTGCTAATGCCTGCAGCCTCGCTCCAGCTGCTGCTACATGGTGGGGCCCCACATCTTCTGCTGCTTCTGTTGCTGCTGCCACGTTAGCTGCTGCTGCTGCTGCTGCTGCTGCTGCGGCTTCTGCTGCTGCAGCACCCACAGCAGAGACAGCAGACGGGCGGGCTTTAAAGGGGCCCTCGATGCGGGAGCGCTGCAGCAGCAGCTGTTGCTGCTGCTGCTGCTGCCCTGCTGCAGCAGCAGCGTCAACCTGCAGCAGAGCTGCTGCAGCAGAGACGCGGGCTGCAGCACGAAGTGCAGCACGGGGCTGCAGCAGCCGCAGCAGCAGCCGCAGGCGAGGAGGCCGGCAATCAAGCTGGTTCGGGTTTGCTGCTGGGAGACCCGTGCGGCTGCTGCTGCTGCTGCTGCTGCTGCTGCTGCTGCTGCCTGCTGCTGCTGCTATGCTGCCGTCCTCCTCGTCGTCTGCTGCGCATGCAGCCCCGCGGCGGACGTGCAGTGCAACAGGTGTGGACAAGTCAGCAGCAGCAGCAGCAGCAGCAGCAGCAGCAGGAGTTGCTGCAGCATGCAGCTGCTGCAGCAGCCACACAGCAGCTATGTCCGTTTCAGCTGGCGCCCAGTGTACAGCAGCTGAGCTGCTGCGCCTCCTTCTGATCCCCTGCCTCAAGGCAGCAGCAGCAGCAGCAGCAGCAGCAGCAGCAGCAGCAGCAGGATTAGAGCTGTCTTGTGCTGCAGCAGCTGGTGCTGCTGCTGCTGCTGCTGCTGCTGCTGAAGGGGATGCTTCAGCACTCAATGAGCCTGCAGAAGGCGGACCAGCAGCAGCTGCTGCAGCAGCAGGTAGACACAGCCGCTTCCTCTGCTGCTGCTGCTGCTGCTGCTGCTGCTCTGCTGCTGCGCCGTCGCGTGCTGCTCCAGTCCATCCTGCCTTCCGTTTGCCCAGGACGTCTGCAGCAGATGAGTGCTGCTGCTGCTGCTGCTGCTGCTGCTGCTGCTCTGCATGCATTGCAGCTGTCGCCGGAAACAGTCCCAGCGCATCTAGCAACGGCGTGGGCATCCACACTGGCTGCTGCCTATCCCCCGCGGAGCTGCTGCTGCTGTTGCTGCTGCTGCTGTTGCTGCTGCTGCTGCTGGCAGCAATAACGCTGCCCCTGCACACAGCAGCAGCAGCACGAAGCCACTGCAGCAGCGCGGAATAGCGGCAAGGGATGTCCTGGTGCAGCAGCATCCATGCTTCTGAGCTGCAGAGCCACTTCCCGCTGCAGATGCTGCAGTCCTTGCTGCAACGACAGCTGCTGCTGCTGCTGCTGCTGCTGCTGCTGCTGCTGCAGCAGCAGCAATCCGGGGTCCCCATCATAGGCCATAATGTTTCTGCAACAGCAGAGACATCCATGCATGCAGATCTGCTGTGCTCAACATCTGTGCTGCTGTCGTTGCTGCTGCGGCCTTCATCACCGGGGCTGCTGCTGCTGCTGCTGCTGCTGCTGGGTCTGCTGCTGCTGCTGCTGCTGCGATTGCTGCTGCGGCTACTGGACCTTGCTGCTGGTAGAAAAGCAGCAGGAGCAGCAATCCGCGCTGGAGCCGAAGTCCTTGCATCTGTGGGCTTATAGGGAAACAATCCACATTGCTGCTGCTGCTGCTGCAGTTGCTGCTGCTGCTGCTGCTGCTGCTGCTGCTGCTGCTGCGTGTTGAGGCCGCGCCTGAGGTGCTCTGCGCGGGCCAGCAGCCCCCGCTGCGCTGTTAGCGTCAGGGCTATAAGACTGAGGCTTTGCTGCAGTCCCTCTAAGCTGGGGAACAGCAGCAGCAGCAGCTGCTGCTGCTGCTGCACATCTAGGGGGAATGCAGCAGCAGCGCGCGCCCCCCAAGCAACACGAGCTGCATCCAGAGACCCTAAACACTCCAGCTGAAGCAGCAACTGCTGCTGCAGC